CTTGATAATGAGGATAACTCAGTTGGTGACCAGGAATGAACAAATAATCTGCAAGTGTCACTTTCTTAAGGCCCTGACCATGAAAATAAAATTTTAAACTTGCTTGATGTAGCCGTTCTTTAAATTAAAACAACCACCGTAAAGATCGAAAATAATAGTTAAATATTCTTTTCACGATCTAATTAGGCTGATTTTTTTTATCTGCAAGGCATGACACAAAGAAACTTTCCTAAAAATCAAACACAGTGAGCAGGTGACAGCTTTTCAACTGATGTCAACTGACACATACCTGCGATGGTCTATGCACTGCATCACCCTCCCAAAGGTGCCTTCGCCCAAAGTGTTGACAATCTCATCTGCAACACACCATAGAGAGAAAAGGAAGAGAAGGAGGGCGGGGAAAAGAAAGAACGAAAGCATTAGACATGTGGCCTCAAGCAGGAATACATAATGCAAAAGTGTAGACAGGCGTATCAATCCTAGCGCCCATCCCTTCTTCAAATGGCCGCCTATTCAATCGGGCAGGCTTGAGACAATGTGAGGTAATCTATGATAATTATATGCATTGCACTATGATACATGTGAAGAAAATAAGGGAGCGTATGTAAAGCGCTCCATTCCGTTCATGACCAATTTGCAGTCATCGAAAAATAAGATGTGGCCGTTTTTGCCCCAAAAGGACACGGTGGTGTTGAGTAAAACAGGAAACATGATTAGTCGCATGATACTGAAAATGACAAACGGGTTACATTCACTGTCTAAATGTGCGCTGGTTGTACTAGGAAGATATTAAAAGTGATGTGCATGTTATATTCCTACTAAAAAAACAAAAAAAAATCCCTGGAACCCTCAGAGTGGAAAATAGCTATCTTAAGTTACAGATATAGAACTGTAACCGAGTTTTAATCTGCAACGCAACAGAGACAATGCCTGCAAATGGGAATCTATGTTTAGGAAAGTCAAGTAACCTGTGAAACACAGAAAATGCTCCACAGCTTAAAATCCTAGAACAAAACGGAGAAGGTATCTAGTCCCTCTCAAAATCTTCAACATTCTTGCAATCCACCCTGCTATTTCAGCTAGAGCGAAGAGCATTCTAGCAAGGCATCATCATCATCATCATCATCATCATCATCATCAGGCACTCCCATGTCATGTAAATGCTCTATGCTTTAATACTCATATGGAGAATGGTTACGATAGAGTAGTGGCAGTGAGTACATCTCTCTTGCAGGACGTCCCCACTCCGACAGATCAGGTGCCCTTCCTCGTCGTCCCTCACACTCAGTGCCCGCGTCCGGCTGTCGCTCCGCTGTTTTCACACCCAAACCGCCATCAGCAGGTCACGACACGACCGGAGGGAACAGGGGGGGTTTTCAGGGGCAGCCGCAGCAATGGCGTCAGGTGGACGAGGAGGGAAGAGGAGGGTGGTGTTGGTGGTAGTAGTAGTAGGTGGGTTTGGTGGTCATGGGGCGATTCACGCATGACACCACGTGAAGGAAATATATAACGATAGGGATATAGTGCAAGGGAACAAGTCAAAGATTACATGTTGTCCTCTGCTCCTCTCCTCCCTCTATCTTAAACCACAGCTGCTTACAAACAAGGAAGCAACTGGCATATCCATTCATCAACGCAAAAACCAATAAAAACAGTAATAGAACTAATGCAAACTTATGAGGTTGACTTTTCAGAGCAAACAAGATGGAAAATAAAATGAGGAGGACCATATGTAATCAAGCAGGTACTGTTTAAAGATAACCCCCAGCATGTATACTAAATCAAATTCAACCCCTTGCTCACTTAAATTTATATTACTTCAAACACATGTGTGGTCAAATACAACCCACACAAAAAATACAAAGACATTTCAAATGTCAGTGAGTTCTAACAAAAGTCTGCATTCTATTTCAACCTAAATGTTGCAGTGTTTGGTAGAACATTTTCACTTTTTTTCCAGCCTATCTGCACTAACGTTCACAAGTGGCCAACCAACTGTTACCACAGGCATTTAGGCCTTTTACAAAAGAAGTGACGACATACACTATTAAATCTTATGAAAGGTAGAGCCACTGACAGGAATGAAGTGTGACCCGGTGTAACTAGGCTGTCAAACAAAAAGTTAGGAAAGATGTGATGAGCATGTACCTGAAGAGCATCAAGAATTAGCACTTGATCGTTAATGAACTACTGAAAAAGTATCTGCATAAAAATGAAAATGCTCTGCCAAAAAGAAATGCCAATTTAAGCAAAAACCCGCCTAAACAAAAAAAAATTAAACAAAACCCCTCTGAAAGGATGAAAACAAATCATAAAGATTTTACTACTTACCAATTCCTGGGGCTGTGGGGAAGAAATGGTTAGAGAAAAACAGAGACAGAAAGAGCTGATTGGAAGAGACAGAGATGGAAGGAAAGAGGATGAGGAGAGTTAAAACACAATCTCGGGACTGGCTGTACTCACCGAGGAGGATGGGCTATAGGACCTGGTTCTACGCCGCCTTCGTTTGTGCTTACGCCTGCTGCCTTTCCGCCGGTACGACTCCCTCTCGCGGCCACGTCGGTAGTCGTACATGTTTGGGGAGAAGTCGCGTGGATAGTAACTTTCAGCGGCTCCGTGCGGCTCCCTTTCTCTGTCGCGGTCTTGATCTCGGTTCTGATCCAAGCGCCGGTATCCCTCGCAGTATCTTCGGTCAAATGGCCGTTGCTCCGTTGAGCGATTGTCATAGCTACGACTGGATCATTGGACAGAGGCGTACATAGTAAGAATGACTACCAACC